TCTCAGAACTTCCCAAGTCTTTGCAGAGGAGAAGGAGTGGTTAATGATTCCATTTGTTGACCAACCAAACATGTCCGGGCCTCTGTCGATTGTTGGAAGGGGGAAGTTTGTGAGGAAGACATGAAGAGAGACCTCTTGATCAGAGCGAGGGTGTGGCAATCTCCAACTATGCTCATTGCAAGCATCCGCGACGGAGGCATCTAAGCGGATTCTTAATCTTCGAGTTCCATCCCTGCCAAAGACGTTAATGAGGGGGCCTAAAGGGTTCCAATGATCAAACCAAAAGCTTGTGCTATGTCCATCTTTGACATCACTTGTGAGAAACCTAGAGATCAGCTCGCGGAGTTTAAGGATACAACGCCAATTCCAGGACTGATATGGGTTTTCCCCTTGAGACCAGAAGCTGTAAGATGTTGGGCAGTTATGGTACCTATGCCAAGCCACCCATAATGAACTACTACCAGAAAACAGAAGCCAAGCAAGACGTAGAAGCAAGGTTAGGTTCCATCTTCTGAAGTTTCTCAGGCCAAGACCTCCTTCTTGTTTTGGAAAACAGACAATATTCCACGCGACCTTTGCATTTGTGCGTCTGTCAACAGCTCCAGACCAAAGGAAACGGGAGCATAAGGTTTCAATTCTTTTAATACATCCTTTTGGTAGAAGGAAAGTAGATGTCCAGAAGATGACAGTTCCTGTGATAACTGTCTTGATTAGGACACAACGGCCTGCAAAGGAGAGAGATTTCGTTGCCCAGTGATTGAATCTGCTGTTTAATTTATCCAGCAGCGGCGAGTACTCCGAAATTTTCAGTTTCCTGTGCATTAATGGGAGCCCCAGATAACGTATTGGGAGGGAACCATGAGGAAAACCGTAGACAGCAAGCTGAGTTGCTTCCTCTTGGCTTAAACCCGCGTGAAACAATTCTGTTTTATCTCTATTCATATTGAGTCCCGACCAACTAGCAAAATCATCCAGAGTTTCCGTGATACCATGCAAAGAGGAGCTACCACCATCAAAGAAGACCATGACATCGTCTGCAAACATGAGATGAGAAATACCCATGTCCTCGGTCTTGGGGTGATATCTTATGTACCCTGAATTGTATCTGGAGCGAAGAAGACCAGAGAAGACCTCCATGGCGAGTACAAATAAATACGGGGAAAGGGGGTCACCCTGACGAAGCCCCTGAGTGCTTCTGAAGTAACCACCAGTGTGTCCATTGACAGAGATCGAGAAGGACGCGGTGCTGATACATTCGTATATCCAAGCAATGTATAACTCGGGGATATTAATACCACGCAGCGCTGCAATAACAAAGTCCCATCTCAGTGTATCAAAAGCTTTTCTTAGATCAACCTTAAGCATCCCACTTGGATCCACATTATTACTGTTATAACCATGGACGATCTCCGTGGCAAGGAGGACGTTCTCAGATAGGAGGCGGCCTGGCAGGAAAGCTGATTGTGAGTGCCCTATTGCTGCATTTAGAACACCTTTCAAACGATCCGCTAGGAGCTTAGAGATCACTTTATAGGAAGTGTTTAAACAAGAGATAGGCCTGAAATCCGAAGTCTTCGAAGCATTTGTAATTTTAGGGATGAGCACAAGGTTAGTAGCATTCATTTGCTTCAGGAGACGGCCAGAGTTGAAGAATTCTGCTACTGCAGAAATGACTTCACCCCCCACAACTGCCCAACAGCTTTTGAAGAACTCCGGTGAGTAACCATCCGGACCACTTGCTTTGTTATGAGGGAGAGCGAAGAAAGCAGCACGAATGTCCTCGCTGGTGAAAGGAGAGGTCAAACTTGATTGTTGAGAAGCAGAGCAAGAAAAATCCAGAAGAGCAGTTACGTCGGCTTGAACGAAGAGAGGAGGATCCACTGGTTTGCCAAGCAAATTGGTGAAGTAGCTGACACACAGGTTCTGAATATCCACTTGAGAATCATAGCGGTTTCCCTCTTCGTCAACTAGGTAGTGAATATGATTGAGAGACTGCCTAGCATTTGCCATACGGTGGAAGTACGGAGTGCTCCTGTCACCCACTGTTAGCCATGTGATTCTTGATCGCTGATAGAAAAAAGATTCCTCAGCGGAGGATAGAGTTTGCCATTTTTCCTGAAGAACTAGCTCGGTATAAGCGTTGGCAGGGGAGGGGTCGTTGAGAGTATTGATTTGAGCAGAGGCCAGAGCCTCAGAAACTTCAGATACTCTCTTCTCGATATCTGAAAAATTCTGTTTGCTGAACTCCCTTATTACCTTTTTTAGCGATTTAAATTTCCTGGCCAGACGAAACATAGCAGAACCTCTGATACTGAAAGAGAACCAGTGACTTGCAACCAGAGGTAAGAAACTTTCATTCTGAAGCAGAAAGTTGAAGAAGCGAAAAGGCTTTTTCTGCTTTGGAGCACCAGTGTGCAAGGAGATGGACATAGATGCGTGATCCGAGAAAGCCGGTTCTCCGAACACTGCCAGAGAAAGAGGAAACAATTGCAGCCATTCATCGTTGACTAACACACGGTCAAGTTTTTTTGCAATTGGTTCACGGCGCCTCTTGTTCCACCAAGTGTGAGAAGAGCCTCTGAAGGAGAGGTCCGCTAGGCCCGATTGTGAGAGGGAATCAGCAAATAAACGAGTAGGCAAATCCACGTTAGGGCAAATAGCAGTTGAGTTTTCCGACGGCCTAAGAACCTGATTAAAATCCCCAAGGACAGCCCAAGGTTTTCCAAAAAAGCGCTGGTCCGAAGCAAGGTTTATAAGATCACACCAGAGGTCCCTTCTAATCATCTCTTCCGTTGAAGCATACACAAAAGAAACAATCACGGGGGCAGCAAAGGTAGGCAGCTTGGCTTCACAGCAAATCATCTGAAGAGACTTGTAGAAGACATTCATTTGCACACTTGGATGCCAAGTAATCCAAATTTTTCCTAAATCCGAGAATGCGTAGTTGTTATCAAACAACCAACCGGGTAAAACTGCATTCAATAGCTTTTGTTGTTTTCCCTGCTGTACATGGGTCTCAATAAGACTCCCAAAAAGAAAATCACTACTCCGAATCCTTTTTTTGAAACCATTACGATGCGAAAGTTTGTTGAAGCCACGCACGTTCCAGCAAAAAATTATTTCTGTACACATAAAAAAAAATTAATTAGTTATTTTTGGGGCCTTTGCCCCGACCTCCTCGAGATCTTCGTTTGGCTCTTACTGGGATGTATTGTCCTTCCTCTTCTTCAGAATCAGAAGAGACCACATCAGAGGAATCACTTTCCACCTCTGAGACAGACAAGTCCCCCAACGTCTTACTAGACTCAGCAAGGATTGGTAAAGCAAGATTAGAGAGGGACTTTAAGCCAGGATCAGCTTGTGGAACCACCTCCGCAGGCGACCTATGGTAATCAATTGATTTACCTTTCTGCTCTGGCGTGTAATTAGGTTGGTTTGCCAACTTTCCTTGCGGCTGGTTTTGAGAGAGAGAAGGCTTGCCATGAACAGAATCAGGGAGGGAAGGCATGTCATGTGCCGGTTCAGAGCGTTTATTTTTCTGCTTCTGATTCAGAACCTGCTTCTTCTCGCCATTCTTATGGGTATGACCCTTTGCTCTGGGGCAAGAATCAGAAGAGTGAGTAGTCGACTTGCAACCCTTGCAGGTGATCGGAGCAGCAGGACAACGCTTGATAGTGTGACCTATCTCTTTGCAATGACTACAAACTGGAGGCATCCAAGGACTAGAAACTGTCACCCGAGTGATATCACCCGAGTCAAATTGAACGTTTACAGCTTCCGGTAAGGGCTTCCTTGGATCTATAATGGTGAAAACCTTTGCAACATCCAAAGATTTATATTAATGTATTTGAACGATATATATGTATATATATATATCTTCTAGTAAAATTGCATTTCATTCCTCTGTACCGATTTTACCAATTAAATTTAATTTGTTGACCGGTTTGATTATTCCTCCGTACCTATTTAACCAAATCCTCTATATATTAAAGGAGAAATATTGACATTTAATATGTTTACATTATCATTTGCCACGTGGTAGCTTCACTTCGATTTGAGAACGAGTATGTTGATGTGTCATGGCAGAGAGCTTCTCAGCNCCTCTGTACCGATTTTACCAATTAAATTTAATTTGTTGACCGGTTTGATTATTCCTCCGTACCTATTTAACCAAATCCTCTATATATTAAAGGAGAAATATTGACATTTAATATGTTTACATTATCATTTGCCACGTGGTAGCTTCACTTCGATTTGAGAACGAGTATGTTGATGTGTCATGGCAGAGAGCTTCTCAGCTAAACTCTACATAAATGCGTTACACTATATACTATTTTACGTATTTTTAATGTAAAACATACATACACGATTCTACGGATTATAAGAAAATTCTACATAAAAAGACAATTTACAAAAAATTCACTATTGTCTAGTTTTATTTTATTTTTTACTTAATTTATTTTAATAAAATATATATTTCATGTGCTATTTTGAACAAATTTTTTAATGTTTATTACGCTACCTTTATATATTTATGAGCCACCTTTATATTTTTTTTTACATACACAAAAATATAAGAGTGCACATGAATCAGATATCGAAGGTTTTGGAGGTATTCGTGATCAAATATGTTTCGTCCGAATAATAAATTATCTGATTCGATTCAACATCTATAATGGTAAAAATTTATATTAATGTATTTGAACGATATATATGTATATCCCTTTTGGCTTATTCGTGGAATGAAATGCAATTTTACTAGAAGATAGTTTGATTAGTTTTTATTAACTTTTTGAGTAATCATATGAATACAGTTGGTTGATTTTAATAAACCTTTTCTAGACTTTTAGATGATTTTAGATATTAGTATAACCCGATCCGAACAAACTAATAGAAACCTAATCAAATTCGAATCCAACCCTAAAACAAAAAAAAACCCAAATAAGATTTATGAGACGTTACCACAAATTCTAAATCAGAAACTGAACAAAAATATATGAATGAGGTTTAAATGATAGGTACTTTGGATATTGGATAAAATATGATCCTAAGTGGTTAGTTACTATATGTATGATATGATATGATATGATAAATCTCACGTTTAACATTATCTCACATTATTAGGATTCCAAAGAAAAAAAAAAGGAAAACAAAACTCTATATAAAATTCCAAATACTTTTATTTATAACTAAAATATATGTTTAGATATTTCTTTTGGTAGTAACAAGCAAAACCTTAGCGAGAAGATGGACGATATTAAAATAGCTATCGTTGAGGTCATCATCTTCTTCATGATCGTATGTTGTTGCCGTTGTTGTTGTACTGGTTCCACTGAGTTACCTCCCGAGTTAATCGACCAAACTCCACAGCCTCAACAAGACATTGAAACCGGACATACGAAAGGCTTACTGTTCAGAGATATCAAAAAAGAAGAAGAAGAGGAAGAAGAAGAAGGGTGTGATAAACGCTGTTGTCCAATTTGTTTGGAAGAGTACGAGGATGATCATGAGATTAGGCGTTTGGAGAAGTGTCGACATTTTTTTCATTGTTTTTGCATTGATTCTTGGCTTAAACAGAAACGAAACTGTCCAACTTGTCGTCGTTCTGTTTGATTTATTATTAAAGTAAATACCAGAGATTAGGTTTTGTAACTTTGTTACTCATTGAAGACAAAGACTATCAATAGTTTACTTTAAAAAGTTTAGTCGAAAGTTGACAAGCTTAAATCTAGTTAACTTTGAAGCTTTTTTTTTATAAATATTATGACATAGAAACAAAGAAATTACATGGACTATAGGACTCTTTAGTGATTTCTTCTTCTCAACAGATACCTAAGTGATGGTTGTGCCACCTCGAAAAGCGATGTTTGTGCCTTTGGTGTTGTTCTCTTTGAGATTGTTTCTGGAAGAGAAGCAGTTATAAGAACAGAGGCAGTGGGAACAAAGAATCCAGAAAGACGTCCATTGGCGTCTATTGTAAGTTCTTGGAGTTTACAAAATACTGAACCATTACACTTCTTTGATGCCAGCAATTATTCCTAAGGAACTGATGCAGCGTAGGATCTCATTCTTAATGAGTTTGAGTTTTTATTTCTCTTTTCTTTTATTTATGTTAATTAATTTATTACGATCGAATGTATTATTTTCAGTTAATAACACAAACAAACTATTTTAGGTAATGATAATTTTTAAATAACTATTGAAACCACAAAATTATTCTTTTTAAATTAATCAGAATTCTATTTTTCTTCTTTTTTACTTGATACTAGGTGTTTTGCCCTCATATGCGGGCTTAATTATCTTTAAGTCAATTTAGAAAATCATCAAATAAATTATTATTTTCATCCAAAAAATTCAACCTAAAACATTAAACTTTTTTACATGATAAAGTTATTCACAAATTAAAAAACTATTTTTCTTTTAAAACTTTGAAAAAATCTAAAGTCTATTTAAAAAAATATAGAAATCTATCTTTCAATTTGATAAATTGAATCGATAAATATACATTCAAAAATTGATCTTACTGAAAGAATTATATTAGTTTGGATAATAATACAATATATTTAAATTTATTTTTGTCAAACACGTATATTCTTTCTTTTTGAATGATCTTTTATTTTATTATGATTAATTCATGTTTAATGTTTAACTATATAAAATATAAAATAAATTTAATTATATATCATTATATTATATTATTATATTCTTTTCATTTGAAAATAATTACGTATTATAAATTTTTTATTTTCTCTTTTCAGTTATATACAGTTAAAAGTTTACTTTATTAATATTCATCTATGTTTTTTATGTTTTTGATTTTTTTATTAAAATATTTTCCGGATAACAACACAATATATATAGGAATTATCTTTTTATTTTTAAATATATATTTAGATTATGGATAATTCTTATCATTATTATTAATTTAAAACATTTATCTAATCAAATAAATATCAAATTCGTTTTTATTTTTGGCTGATTTATATATTTTATTCATTAAGGGTATAAACGATATTAACCAGCCTAACTTTGAACGTGAGAGCTCTGTTGCGAAAAATCACTTCACAAATAATAGTATAGATTATATATATATATAGAGAGAGAGAAAGAACATAATATACATGAATTATTTTTCTTTTTGAAAATTGTTTGCTCTTTCATTATAAAGAATAAGTCTAATCATTCACTAAAAGCAACTCAAAAACAATTTAATAAAAATCATCAAGCGTTGTTTTATACATGTGTTAATAAAAATCCCCCATAAAATGAAACTATTATAAATTTAATCATAGATAAATCCAACGCGTTGTTTTATGCATGTGTTAATAATAAGTCCCACATAATTAGAATATCATACTTTTAGCTTAAATATAGATGTTTAGATAAATGCACTTGTAGATAATTATCATTGAGTAGACGATGGAAAGTTAATATATTTTGCTTCAATATATATTTTTAAATTATATAATATGTAATGCCTATAGTAAATTGTTTATATTATAATTAATTAAGGATATCATAGAATTTAATCAGTCTAATTTTTAACATAATGATTCGAATGCGGAAAAAACACTTTGCAAATAATAGTATAGATATTTTAGATAGTTTTTTGAACTTTTAAGTGATCTCAAATATTAGTTAAAATCTGATAAAAAACCTAAACTATATAAAATAGAACTGAAACCGACATGAAAATTTAAAATACATAAATAGTAGAACTTTTAAACATAGAACTTGAAATCCGATATAATTTTTTTAAAAAAATTGTATCGTAGTATAGGACGTCTGATATAAAATTCCAAATACTTTTTTTTATAACTAAAAATATATGTTACGATGTTTGTTTTGGTAGTAACGAGCCGAGCAAAAACATAGCTGAGAGGATGGAAAATTTTGATATAGCTATCCTTGAGTTCACCATCTTCGGCATGATCTTGATCATAATTTGTTGCTGTCGCTGTTGTACTGGTTCCACTGAGTTACCTCCCGAGTTAGGTGCTGTTTGTTTAACCATCTATCATCTTCATCCAGCTAATCCATCTTGATGATTCATCTAGATGGTCCATCCACATTTTTGAGATTGTTTGTTTGTCCATCTAGATGGATCATCTAGATGGACTCATGTTTGTTTCTTGTTTTTCTTCTCCATGTAGATGAGTTTGGTAAAAAAATTACTAAAATACCTTTTTTTTTATTTAGTCAATTGTATAATATTAATTTTAAATATATTTACTTTTATAATTTTGACGCCAAAATGCGTTTTTGCGGATTTAGCAGAAAAATAGGTTTTTACAATTTTGACGAGAAAACATGTTTTGACGGAAAAATACATTTTTACGGTTTTAGTTTGAAAATGCATTTTTGCGATTATAGTAGGGAAACACGTTTTTGCGATTTTAGCGGAAAATGCGTTTTTTACTGGAAAATATGTTTTTGCGGAAAAACGTGTTTTTGCGATTTTGGCAGAAAAACGTATTTTATGGTTTTTACGGGAAAACGCATTTTGCGGTTTTTACGGGAAAACGTGTTTTGGCGAAAAAATAGATTTTTCGGTTTTGGTAGGAAAACGTGTTTTTGCGGTTTTGGCGAAAAACGTGTTTTTCGGTTTTTGCGGGAAAATGTGTTTTGGTGAAAAAATGGGTTTTTGCGGTTTTGGTAGAAGAACGTGTTTTTGCGGTTTTGGCGGAAACACGTTTTTGCGGGAAAACGAGTTTTTGTGGTTTTAGCGAAAAACGTCTTTTTACGGTTTTGGCGGGAAAATGTGTTTTTGCGGTTTTGGCGGGAAAATGTGTTTTTGCGGTTTTGGCGGGAAACACATTTTTGCGGTTTTAGTGGGAAAAAACGTTTTCACGGTTTTGGCGGAAAAACATGTTTTTGCGGTTTTGGCAGGAAATATGTTTTTTCGATTTTGGCGGGAAAACACGTTTTTGCAGTTTTATAGCGAAAAAACGTGTTTTTACGGTTTTGACGGAAAAATGTGTTTTTACGGTTTCGACGGAAAAACATGTTTTTACGGTTTTTGTGGAAAAATGTGGTTTTGTCATTTGAGGAAATGTGGTTTTGTCATTTGAGGAAATGTGGTTTTGTCATGGAAGTTACAAAATAATAGTATGTTTAGGTTTGTAATTTATGAATTATATAAAAGGTTATAATAGACATTATACAATTTTGGAAGAACCATCTCCATCCAGATGGTTCAAATTGGTCCATCCATATGGAGTTCAAAATTATCTGGATGATCCATCTAGATGAGTTGTACTTTTAGTGTCTAAACAAACGAAACTCACATCTCCATCCAGATGAGCATCTAGATGGTGAAACAAACAGGCCCTTAATCGACCAAACTCCACAGGATCAACAAGACATTGAAACCGGACAGAGAAAGGGATTACTGTTCAAAGATATCAAAGAAGAACAACAACAAGAAGAAGGGTGTGGTAAACGTTGTTGTCCAATTTGTTTGGAAGAGAATCATGAGATTAGGCGTTTGGAGAAATGTAGACATGTTTTTCATCGTTTTTGTATTAATTCTTGGCTTAAACGGAAACGAATCTGTCCAAGTTGTCGTCGTTCTGTTTGATTTATTAGCTAAGTAAATACCCGAGATTGGGTTTTGTTACTCATTGAAGAGTGGGAGTATCAATAGTTTTACATTAAAGTGAAGGTTGAAAAAAAAAACTAATTAACTTAACTTTGAAGCTAATTCTTTTTTTAATATTAGGACATAGAAACAAAGAAACTAAATGGACTATGGACTATTTAGTGATTTCTTCATCGAACAAATATTTAAACCAGAAATCGAACAAAATCAAATCCTTTATCACAAGGGTTTCCAATTTTTATAACTTTTGATCAAATATTTAAACCTTGTTTACAAATTTTGCGTAGTTAGTTACTTACTAATATAATATGATAAAATCAGTCTGTTACATACTTTCACAAGATTAGGATTCCAACTGAAAAAAGGAAAACAAAACTCTATCCGGAGTTTGATATAAAAATCTAAATATTTTATTTATAACTACAAATTTTATGGTAGAAACAAGCGAAAACTTAGCGTGAGGATGGAAGATGTTGATATAGCTTGCATTGTGATCACCATCATCGCCGTGATCATCATAATTGCATGTGGTTCCTGTTGCTGTGGTACTTGTGTCCCGGATCTTCCTCCAGAGTTAATCCACCAAACTCCACAGCCTCAACAAGACATTGAAACCGGACAGAAGAAAGGCTTAGTGTTCAAAGATATCAAAGAAGAAGGGTGTGATAAACGCTGTTGTCCAATTTGTTTGGAAGAGTACGAGGATGATCATGAGATTAGGCGTTTGAAGAAGTGTAGACATTTTTTTCATCGTTTTTGCATTGATCATTGGCTTTCACAGAAGCGGACCTGTCCAAGTTGTCGCTGTTGTGTTGTTTAGACATGATGAGTTGTTTGCTCTTTAATCAACCATCTGTTTAATTTATCAACAAGGTAAATAAATATATACTAGCAATAGTTTAACAGTAATCAAAATTTTGTCAAAGGTCACAGCCAGATCCTTCAAACACTTTGATATTATTTTTTTATCAACGTTTGGATGAAGCTATATAGCAAAACTTAAAATGTAGTTATGAATTCGAATCAGATGTTGTTATGATATTATCATACCTGGCCTGAGTGACTAGAGAGTAGAGACCAACACCTTATTCTTTTGTTTGCTTCTTCACATGTAAACAAGATTTATACATCTTTTGAACACAATAAAAGCTATTAGGTGAAATCAAACTCAACTTTTTAAGTTAGTGGATGAAACCAAACTCCGTAAGACCATCTCCAATGGTACTCTATAATTCTCTCTATATTTTACTTTAAAATAGTGCAACTCTATTATAGAGTTAGATTTGTTCCAATGGTTTACTCTATAATAGAGATACAATATATATAGTGAAATATAGAGGAATGTTGTTTTTTTACTCCAAATATGAAGTGAAAAAGTAACATTTCTCTATATCTCACTCTATTATGGTGTAACTCTATTATAGAGTAAACCATTGGAGCAAATCCAACTCTGTTATAAAGTTACACCATTTTAGAGTAAAAATTATAGAGTACCATTGGAGATGCCTTAAGAGCCTAAGACCCCAAACAACAACTCATTTGTGATACCGACTCTCTTTTTTCTCAACTTTCTTCTTTTATTGCTTTTAATTTATGAGATATTGGAACCCTCAATGAAAGTGCTCTAACCCTATTGGTACATCATAGGGGTTTACTATTGGCTTAAACTCTATCCAGCCGGTCAACTCCACAACTTCAAAAATTGTACATCTGCAGAACTTAAAAATCCAAAGAAAATCTTCAGGGCAACTTTGCTAAATTATCATCGGATCCTTGAAAGTCGTGTTTTCAGTTTTCTTCACTTGATTAGGATTTGATTAATTTCAACACCGTGTATTTCTCACATGATTAGGATAAGATAAGATAAATAAAACTCTTAACTGGAATTTGATATATAATTAATTTTATTTTTCTGATGCATGGTTTAAGAAAAATCAGGGTTTTAATATTTCTTCTGGTAAAGAGAATAATTAAAAAGAAAAAGTTGTCTGACAATATGGATCAGTCTCATGAACCGCACTTGAACGAGTCACATCCAATGGAACTAACAGTTTTTCTAGCAATAATGATCATCGTTTGTTACTATTGCGGTAGGAATGATCACACGGGACAATCCACCAAACTCCTCCTCAGACTCAACAAGACATTGTTGAGATTAGGCGATTAAACAAGTGTGGACATGTTTTTCTGCGTTTTTGTATAGATTTAGGCCTGGGCATTTTACCCGGACCCGAAGACCCGACCCGAAACCGACCCGAAAAAACCGGGTCCGGGTAGGAACCGACCCGAGCAAATTACCCTATTGGGTCTTGTTGTGGAGGACCCGCGGGTCTTGGACCCGACCCGGACTGAACCCGAAACCCGATGGGTACCCGAATTAATATTGTAAATTAAATAAAATGCATTGAGGGGGAGTCGAAGACGGGTTGTTTCTATAGAGAGTAAGGAGGTCAACCACTAGGAGACAACGAATTGTTGTTGTATCTCGCATAGTTTAATATATATACACATTTTAATATAGTAAAAACACAAATTTTGAATAAAATTTTGAATATTTTCGGATATATAAGTATTTTCAGATTTTTTTTTATATATATTTAGGTATTTTTTAGGTCGAACCCGAACCAAACCCGACCCGAAACCGAACCGAATCCGAACCGATAAATTCTAATTACCCGAATGGGTCCAACTATCTAAGACCCGACCCGACCCGGACCCGGTACGACCCGAACCGAACCGAAACCGAAAATTTGAAATTACCCTATCGGGTCCTAAACTCCTAGACCCGAAAGACCCGGACCCGAAAGGACCCGACCCGAACCCGACNAACCGAATCCGAACCGATAAATTCTAATTACCCGAATGGGTCCAACTATCTAAGACCCGACCCGACCCGGACCCGGTACGACCCGAACCGAACCGAAACCGAAAATTTGAAATTACCCTATCGGGTCCTAAACTCCTAGACCCGAAAGACCCGGACCCGAAAGGACCCGACCCGAACCCGACCCGACTACCCGAATGCCCAGGCCTATATAGATTCTTGGCTTACAAATGATCCTAGACAGACATGTCCGAATTGTCGTGGTTCGGTTTATGGACTAAAGTGTATCATGTTCCTCTAGCTTGTTCGATGTGAGCTTCAAAGATAAATTAGTTTTGTCATACACACTTATTCATGGAATACATAGTCAAACTTCTGTTATACATATGAAACATCTGACCTTTGTTAGACACACACACACGAGAACAGATGAAACTAGAAGAGTCCTAATATATACATATGAAACATCTACAATGATGATTCTTTTCAAGTCTCAGATTGACTCAACAAAAAAGAGTTCACATGTGCTTGAAGCTGGGGAACGATATGTCAACTCCATTTTGAGTATCTCAAGGTTTTGAACATCTCTATCAAACCAGAAAGTTGCTGTCCTTAAGTTGGGAGCGTTTCTCAAGATGTAAACCGCCATGACTCTATCTCGCGGTCTCCCAAGGTATCGTGACAAGTTGAAAACTTGTAGACTCGGCAGCATGCATTCAGGAACACAACTCGGTTGGTACCAGGCAATCTTATCATCAGTCTTTATATCTTCATGGCACTAAAGACCAAACATTAGAACAATTAGATTAAGAAACGATGATGATACTGGTTGGTCCTCATAGTTTATGAAAGAAACTTACATCTAGTATAGAGATGTCCAACACTCGCAAGTTAGGTGAATCTTTGAGGAACTGTGCAAGGAGATTCAAAGAGTCATCTTTGCACACACACAGCTTCAGATGTTCAAGCTGATCGAAAGCAAAACCATCACCACCATACACATCCTCCTGCACCTCTGAACATACGGTAAGATGCTTGACAGATGTGATTGATCCAATAACCTTCTTGAGAGCAAATGATGCAACATCGAGATACGCTTCCCTAAGATCAGGCATCCTTTTCTTAAACAACCAAAGACTATTATTCCAATCCTCAAGTTTGAGATATTCCAAAAGAGGAGTGTCTATCTCATACTCATCAAAGTCCCAATTACATTCAGGTAAAGAGAGTTTTAACTTCCGCAACAAGGGGAAGATGACAGTGAACATCTGCGGATACTCATCTTCGATAAAACGCACCTCAAGATCTTCAAGAACATGACACATAGACAGAAGGTTCTGAAGCGAGTCTCCACCAACGTATGTCAGACATTCGAGTTGCAAAGTTTTCAGAGAGGGAAGACAACAACCAATAGAAGGAACATCCATGAGAATCAAGTACCTGAGTTTCAAAACCACAAGCGATTCACAAGTAAAGAAACTACTTGGAAACACGTTTACATTACTCTCTGTCGAATAAGAAACTTCCAGGTCACGAACACAGCGAGAAACCACGGTTTCAACCCACGTTTTGATGTCTTCAGGGTTAACTTTGGAATCATGCGACTCCCATAGCTTAAGACACAACCTTTCTATGACTGGAGCTTTGTGTAAGGGAAGGTTCTTGTTGATGAAGTCTCGGAGTACAAGGAGTGACTTGCCTTGATCATCACTGTACTTAAGTTTAGGTAGCCACATCCAAAGAAACTTCCATCGTTTGGATAAAATGCTGGTGGAGACAGCAACCTTTGTCGGAACAGATGATAATATCTTTACCAACAGTTCATTAGGTAACTCGCTGATCTTGTCCATTTATCTTACCAAATTCAAAACAAGACAGTAAGACTCAAAAGGATTCGTCTTTAAGAACATAAGCAAAAACCCTAATGGATTATGATCAAAATTGAGATACAAATAGTTGAGAAAGAGAGTCTTACCAATCTAAAACAGAGGCTCTCTCTGAACAGAAGTAGAACACGAGCTTCTTTGGACTAAAACAAGGGTTTTTGCTCCAGTGTCTTCTTTGGAACACTGTCACTTATGATTTTATATTCCCCCTTCAAAAGAAGACAAGAAAACAAGACAAGTAAGACTCAAAAAGATTCGTCTTTAAGACCATAAAGCAAACCCTTAAGGATATGATCAAAATTTTAGATACAATTGTTTCCATCTAACGAGACTTAAAAGGTGAGAAAGGGACCTCTTACCTCGTTATAACAGATCGATACTAAGAGCTCTCTGAATGTACTTCGGATTGAAAGAAGGGTTTTTTTTTGCTCCGGCGACTCGGAGAAGAGGAGAGACAGTGGAAGCGAGTGGAGAGAAAGGGGTTTTCCTTTTTAATGTTTTCGTCCGAAACGGCACCGTTTACAAAATAAATGAAACAATAACGTTTATATATTTTAAACAAACGATACCGATTTTAGAAAACGCAAAATATTTTATCATAATTTTTTTATTAATAATTAACAAATATTTTGTTAATTCTTTTTCTCAACAATATTTTGTTAATTTAAAAATAACAATATATTTAAAATAATTTTGTATTTAAATTAGTATTTTTAAATTCGATTGAACCCGCATTTAATTGGTTAATTCAATGAACAAATAATTCAATTTAGATTTTCTAAAAATAAATCACTAAAAACAGACCAGCCGATGAATACTGATGTATAATATTTAAATATGTAAATTTCTATTTATTTTTTTGTTATTTTATAAATTATTTAAATTATTTAAATTATTAAATTTTCTGAATAACTTGAAAGAAATTTTTTTTGTGACAACATAGGTAACTAAGTAACTACTCCTATTCAGAAAATTAAGTTGGAAGTGTTGAACTAACATATAACACAGCTGAAGGAGAACTTTTTGCACCTCGTACAAGCTTATCCGCCATAATATTTTGTGTCCGCAGAATATGTTTGATTCGGAAGTTAAGGAAGAAAGTTTTACTAC